ATTAACCTCCCATTGCCTTATGTCTCCCTTCACTTTCAAACCAAAAATAACTAGCCTTGACAAGCTCTATAAATCACAAGGTGCATATTCAGAGGGGGTAGGAGATTGCTGCAAAGGGTGCATTCTAAGCAGGACTGAAATAGTGGACCCACAGTTCTTAGCAAAACAAAGACTTTGGTGTGATAAGATGTTCTCAAGCACCTGTTATCCAGTTTGTGAGATGAGCCTCATCTATTTCTACTAGACAGAGAATCATGAGTTAAACAATTGGCAATGGAATACACAGAATAAGTCAAGACTTCATTAGAAGTATGGTTAGTTAAGATGATCCCATCCCAGGCGATGCCATTTCCCCAGGGACATCCTCCCCTACTTTCAGAAGGGAGAACAGATCCTGTTACATTACCACAAGTAAAATAGAGTTGAGTTATTTTCATCTTACCCATGGAGAAAACACCTACATTTTTTTTCTTGTACATAAGGGATTAGCAGGAGGCAGTAAATGGCAACATAATCCAGTGTGCAATTTTAACTGTTAATCAAAGTCACAAACTAAGTCTGAAGGAAGTTTAATGGACTTTGTGTTTCCACATTTATGTTTGCTAACTTCTACGTGAAATCAGATCTGTTTACAGAAACAGATCTGTGAAGCTTCCAAAATTGGGTCAATTTAAAATACAATGACAATCCTTCAACTGTCCAAACACTCAGAAGTCAACATAGAACACATGAACACTGGTTCTAATTCATCACTATGCAGAACCCTCAAGCAAATATATTTTTCCATCATTTCTCTCAAAAACAGTTTCACATTGTTCTTTTTAAAGGATACAAACTCAACTCCATATTAAGTTATCCACAGAACTCAACAAACCATAACCCACTCCTAAACAATTAACAGAATGTGAACAGAAATCAATGAATGCTGTTTAATTATCTCTAGGTCAAATTATGACACAGATCTCCATAGAATACTAAAAAACTAAATGTTTTAGTATCCTGAAGTGTCTGATACTCCAATAAGAAGAAGCCTAGAGTTTGTAAGGGTAGATGGCAGGGCTATAGGAGGTTACAATCCTAGTTAAATGACAATCACTTCATTTTGTAGAGACTGGTATACTTTAAAAGGTATCTGCCAGGACCAGCACTGTGGCATAGTAGGTAAAGCTGCCGTCTGCAGTGCTGGCGGCAGGTTCAAGTTCCGACTGCTCTACTTTTGATTCAACTCTCTGCTATGGCCTGGGAAAGCAGCTGAAGATGGCCCAAGTCCTTGGGCCCCTGCACCAGTGTGTGAGATCAGGAAGAAACTCCTGGCTCCTGGCTTCGAATTGGCCCAGCTCGGCTGTCGCAGTCATTTGATTAGTGAACTAGTGATAGAAGACCTCTCTCTGACTCTGCCTCTCTGTGACTCTGCCTTTCCAATAAATAAATAAATAAACCACACAAAATAAATAAATAAATAAATAAATAAAAGGTATCTACTTTCAGAAATATACACAAACAGAAACCCAAAAATCTAATAAAAGTATTTACCTATGTGGTAGTGGGAAGTGAGGAAGACAGTGACAAGGTTAGAGGAAGATATTTTAACTACAATTATTTTGATTTTTGTACCATATGAATAAGAACGCTGTGACACAGAAGGTTAAGCCTCTGAAAGCAGTGTAGGCATCCCATATGGGCGCCAGTTCAAGATCTGGCTGCTCCACTTCCCATCCAGCTCCCTGCTAATGTGCCTGGGAAAGAGGCAGAAGATGGTCCAAGTGCTTGGGCCCCTGTACCCACGTGGGAGACCCAGAAGAAGCTCCTGGCTCCTGGCTTTGGACTGAAGCTGAGCTCCGGCCACTGAGGGCATTTGGGGAGTGAACCAGCAGATGGGAGATATTTCTCTCTCTCTCTGCCTTTAAAATAAATAAATCAATCTTTTAAAAATATGTATTTTTTTGCCTATGTGAATACATACTATTTAGTGGGCGTGTAAACCAGCATAATCTTCCCATGAGGCAATTTGATGTTATATATCAAAAGTCTTAAAAATATGCATTTTTTGTGACCAGTGATTTCACTGGGTAAAATACAATGGCAGAATCATATGGAATACCATATGGCCATTAAAGTTACGTTGTAGAAAAATGTCATGATATGGAAAAACATTCACCTTATTAAATAAAAAAAAAGGTAACAGATTTTTAGTGTATGACTTTTTTCCCATCTTAATGTGAGCTCCTTTTAATGTCATCCTTGGGTAGGGGGATTGGGAGAGGTCTGTGCTCCTAGGCCCAGGGGCTTTCAGGGTCTGAGGATCTACCCTCCATAAACATATTAAAAAAAAAAAAAATATATATATATATATAGGCACATAAAAACTGTAAAGAAATTTATCAAAATACCTATGAGGGTGCTTTCTGTATTCAGTAAATTTCTTCCCAAAGTTTGTGCTACTTCATAAAGACACATTAAAGTTATCTAAACACTTATAAAGCTGATACATTAATGTCCCCCTACTCACTTTTTATATTACGCAGGTGTTGACACAGCTTACCTGTGACTTAAATTGTCAGACTTGACTCATATTGCAATATAATCTTTCACCTCTTTTCTAAAATCATGAAGTCTAACAGATATTTCTTTTCAAGAAGTAGAGGCAGCAGAAAGACAATGAAACAGATTTGGATTCTCCATAATGAAAAGGATTAACACTAATAGGAAGGGACCATAAAGACCAAGGCTAACTAACCTGCGAAAACCCAAAGGATGTTTCTGAGAACTAGTAGCACAAATCTCCCAACGTGCTAAACTTAACAGACTGCTGTTGCCTCTGTATAAAGCTATTCTGAAATTGTTTAGTGTACATTTGCTATTTTCTGGTATCTGACATTACCCCCACTTTCCAAAGCCTGCAATTTAGGACTACTGACACCAAAGGGTGGTAGTGTATACTTCTATTCAAGCATCAAGACAAATAGCAGGCTCACTAACAATATGAACAAAGTTGTACTATCCTCTTTTACTTTAAGGAAAAAGTATAAATAGCATTTCCCTTAAATTTCCAAAGTAATCTCCTACTTCTAATTTTATATTTTTCTCATTATCTTTAATGTCTTTCCCTTTTAGCAAGTTTCCTTAGGCAAAGAAAGAAAGAATCCCACCACATTTGTCTATCCTTTTCTCATAAAGTATCTTGGGCTGCTGATCTCTAGGTTTGTGTTTCAAATACATTGTATTCACAGAACCACTTTGTTGTTCAATCTCTCAGTAGTTAATTCCTGCTTCCTAAGCTTATCCATGGCAAAGAAAATTAAGTTGGTCAAAGAGCATTTAAATCCCTCCTGCTTTCTTCCCCAGCAATTCATAAAGAAAATCAAGTAAGAGATCCAGGAAAGACCAAAGGAAAAAATACAGAGAGGATATAGGATTCTGAACAACCTTCCCTAGTATCTAAAAAAGAAATTAAGAACTTTCCCACATAATCCCTTCTCCTGGACAAACTTAATCCCTACTGTGGAATAATTCACTTTATCAATGTTGGAATATAGATTTCAGCATAAGTCTGGCCAAAATAACCCTATTTTATTTAAATAATCTCAAGAGTTTAAAAACTCAAACTAGTTGAATCTGATCCAGCTTTCCATACCCACAATTCTGTAGTCAATTTAGATAGTGCTCTCCTGCCTATTCAGTTAAACAGATACTTAGTGATTCTTGTGCACCATGACTGTTCCAGTCTCTAACAAACTCTGCTTTTCAAGAACCAGTGTGCATTCCACTTGCTCCACACAAAGCAACCTCCGCCTGTTTTAAGCCTCACTGATCTCCATCACCTCTGAACTGCCCTGAAAAAGCACTCAAATTTTGCCTTGTCTTGTTCTGATTGATACTTATCAATCTGAATCCATCTTTTTGTTCCCAAGCATACCAGAAAGCCCTTCACATATCTGTATACCCGCAGATTCTACCACACAGTAGACCCTCAGAGGTCAACTAACTGGCTACCTTAACAAGGGTATTCAAGTATGATCTGGGGGTGGCTTGACAGGTAGCTTAATACACTCAGTTCACAATACAAGAATATCTTTACTACAGCAGCCAACTGTCCTGTTTTTGACGGCGGCATATGATGAGCAAAGACACTCAAAGGAAGAACGCAGGATTTCAGGACAAGGTAAAGCTGAACCAGAAAGCACAGCGATTAATTTAAAGCAAAATCAGCAAGTCAAAAATACTTTTCTAAGCAGGAATGATTTGGGGAAGTCCCTGTTATTGAAATATTATTAAACTGTGAGAAAAAGAAACCATATATCAAGAAAATAAGGCGTAAACCAATCCTACAATACTAAAAGCCGGTTCATAGCTTTCCTTCCCCCTCCAATCTATTAACGTCCTAAGAAAGGAAATCAGAAAGGGTATTAAGGGATTTGATAAAAAGGGATAGGATTGACAAATATACCTAATAGAATTCACGTTAAATCCAAACTAGAAGACACCGCCAACAGGAAGTAAACTCTCCCTCAATCATGTTCTATCACCATTTATCTTACACAAAGTTTTGAAACGTAGTTGGGGCCCCATCTGTTTTCCTCCATCAAATACCACACTCATTTCTAGAAGTTTATTATATTCTGGGTCTCGCTTCCCTCCTTTGTAAACCGCATCTACTTCGTTGGCTTGGGAGAAAATCAAATTGGAACGCGTACGCAGAGAACGGCAATGATTCTAGTTGCCGCTATTATTGGCCGATAGCCTCCCGCAACTCCTTATTCCCCCTATTTCCCTTACAGACCGTGGAAAAATCTTGTCTCAAAGAAAACGGCGGCCCAAAAAAGCCCCCGCTCCCACCCCGCCGGGCCTAGGCGGCCCTCGGCACCCCAACGGCCCCAGAGACCAGGCCTAGAGGCACGGACCGCACTACGAGATGGGAGCCGACCTCCAGCCGTTCCAAAATCAAGAATGGAGCCTCGCGCCCGAGCTGTTCCCCTTTGTCTTCCCACGGTTCACCTCACCTCAGCTCGCCGGGTCTCTCCTCGCCTCAGCTCTGACGACCAAGCTCCCGCAAGCCCGCCGCGGGACTCGTACCGTTGAAAATTTGAACCCGGGCACCCTAGTCGAATGCACCAATCAGAGCCGCAGGGACCGGCAATCCTAGCATCCCGATTGGCCCTAGAATGCGCAGCGACGCCGGAAGTTGGTAGGCGGAACAGAAATCCAACCGCCCACGAGTCTCCTGGGAAATGTAGTCTTGTGCGCCTTTGTCGCCTCCAGAACAGCTCTTGAAAGGACGGTACTACAGAGCCCGGAATGCTCTGCTCCGAACTGTTTGGGGAAGGTGGTACCGACGGAAGAGGTGGGGATTCCGCTTAGATGACGGAACAGCTCGCATCGTGGACCTCTCCAAAGCTTTCGGGGAAGGAAACTCTAGTTTTAAAAATTAATCTGGGGCCGGCGCAGTGACTCACTTGGTTAATCCTCCGCCTGCGGCGCCGGCATCCCATATGGGCGCAAGTTCTAGTCCCGGTTGCTCCTCTTCCAGTCCAGCTCTCTGCCTGGGAAAGCAGTAGAAGATGGCCCAAGTCCTTGGGCCCCTGCACCCGCGTGGGAGACCAGGAGGAAGCACCTGGCTCCTGGCTTCGGATGGGCGCAGCGCCGGCCGTGGCAGCCATTTGGGGGGGTGAACCAAGGGACAGAAGACTTTTCTCTGTCTTTCTCTCTCGTTGTCTATAACTCTACCTGTGAAATAAATTAAAAAAATAATAATAACAACAAGATACGGTTCATAATAGCAACAAAATTACAAAGCTTCCAAACCTCAGTGGGAAAAATAAAAGCAGTAAAACTTCGTTGAATAACAAAATTAAATGAGATTATATTCCTTGTTAATGGATGAAGATACAATATAAAGATGTACATTCTCCAAATTAAAAGTTCAAGGCAATGCCAATGAAAATCCCAATAAGTTTTGTCATGAAAGCTGCCAAGTTGACGCTAAAATTCATAGGGAAGAGGAAAAACACAGGAGGTGTCATCTGAATTTTGAAAAATAATAGGTGGTGCTAAACTAAATTTGAATTGAGGATGCCTCAGTGCTTAGGTGCTTACATAAGGACCACAACCTAATTTAGTAGATAAACGAAAGACTAATTTAGTAGTGGACGGTGCTCTTCCAGCAAATGGAGGAGTGTCAGTTACAGCATCTGAGCTTCAATCACGCACTGCAAGCTGTAATACATTAAGCCTCCCTGTACCCCACTCCCGTCTTCAGGCCATAAATGCTGCCTAACATCATAGCCCAAAATTCTACTTCCATAAGCTGGCCAAGCTGTTCATTGCTCCATTAAGTTGTTAAATGTAAGTTGTCTAAGTTGTTTTCCACTTTGTTAGGGATTCTGAGACCTTTAGGGGGGATTCACACCCTAGATTTCATACATACTGATACATTATAGTAAGTCTAAAACCACAGAGGTGCGATCAATAAAATTTACCCAAAAACTACAGGAGAAAAGATCTAATGTCTTTAAAAAAAAATAGGGTTTTGTTTTGTTTTTTAAAAGTCCTTGTTTTTTAAAGCTATGTGTGGAACTAGAAGGAATGAAATGACTCTAGTCATTGACGGTGAGGCTGGTGTTGGGGCACAGGAGGTTAAGGCGCCACTTGGGGCGATCACATCCCACACCTGAGTGCCTGGTTCCCAGCCCCAAGTGCATCCTGGGAGGCAGCAGATGATGGTTCAAGTATTGAGTCTCTGCCACTCACATGGAAGATCGAGGCTGAGTTCCAGGCTCCTGGCTTCAGCCTTTCCCAACCTTTAGCTGTTGTGGGCATTTCAGAGAGTGAACCAGCAGATGGAAACTCTCTCTCTGCATTTTAAATATAATTAATTAATTAACTAATTATAATTGGGAGTATGCAGCAGAAATAAACAGGCAGGAGTTCAGATGAAACGAGATTAGCCACAAGTAAACAAGTGTTGAACCTGAGTGATGAGCTCATCATACATAAACACATAAATGTACTTTTTCATGTGTTTGAAATTTTCCACAATTAAAATTTTTTTAACTGCCAATTATTTATTTTTAATTTATTTATTTGAAAGGCAGAGTTACAGAGATAGAGGAAGAGACAGAGAGAGTGGTCTTACATCCACTGGTTCACTCCCCAAATAGCCACAATGGCTGGGGCTGGGCCAAGCCAAAGCCAGGAGCCAGGAGCTTCTTCTGGGTCTCCCACAGCAGTGGAGGTACCCAGGCCCTTGGGTGCTGGCCCCAAAATAAATCTTTAGCAACCCAAATGTGCACCAAATGATAAATGGATAAATAAAACATTGTTTCTGCCTCTCTGTAACTCTGCATTTCAAATAAATAAATCTAAAAAAAATTAAAATGTGGTTTATCCATACATGCTACAACATAGATGAATCTGAAACATTATGCTGTGTTGAAGGAGCCAGGCAGTCTGGAGTAGAACACAACAGATGTCTTTACTAGCATCCTAACCACAAAGCAAATACCCACCCCTACATGTCTTTAAAGTTCTCATATAGAAGTAATGCTTTCCAGGGCCAGCATTCAGCACAGTGGCTAAGACACCACTCAGGACCCCTGCGTCCATATCAGGGTGCCTGGTTTGCTCCTTGGCTCCAGCACCTGATTCCAGCTTCCTGCTACTGCACATGATGGGAGACCGCAGTGATGGCTCAGTCGTTGGGTCCCTGCCATGCTGTGGGAGACTTGGCCCAGCCCTGGCTGTAGCAGATACTTGTGGAGAAACCAGTACAAGGGGGATCTCTCTCTCTGCCATTCTAAATAATAAATAAATAAGTTTTAAAAGTAATACTTTCATGTTTTTAATATTTGGAAAATACAAAAAATAATCAAGAAAATATATCCTATCCTTCAGTGGCAATATCTCCACTATTAGCATTTTAGTATACTTGTATCTCTTAGTCTTTCTAAAACTGATTTTATCTGACATAGGGTAGATACAAATGTGTATACATTTTATGTATCTGTATATGAAAGATAATGAAGCAAAAAAATTTCTGTGCATACATATAAATTCAGCTTACTAAGAACATTTCTATTAAAAAAAAGATTTATTTTATTATTTGAAAGGCAGAGCTACAGAGAGAGAAAGACAGAAAGAGAGGTCTTCCATCCCCTGGTTCACTCCCCAAATGGCCACAATGCCCAGGGCTGGGGCAGGCCCAGGTCAGGAGCCAAGAGAGAAGCCAGGAGCTTTTTCTTGGTCTCCCATGTGCCTGAGTTATCTATCCCCCCAAACTTAGCAACTGGAAATCACGAGCATTTATTATCTCCTACAGTTTCTGAGGGCCAGGACTCCAGCTCACTGGGATGCTTCTGGCTCAAGGCCTAGAGTCAGGTCGCAGTCAACTAAAGGCTCCACAACTCTCCTTTTAAGGGCCGGTACAACAGAGCCCTGAGAATTCAAGAAAAAACTCAACCCAGTCTCTCCCAGCAGACCCTCACAACTCACTTCTGGCACCAGGTGTGTGAGGTTTTTCCCACCCCACCCCACCCTCCACAGGCGATGCTGCAGCCATGGGCAGCAGCTGGGTGGCCTCTAATCCAGTGCAGTTCATTCACCTGGAGGGAGCAGCTGCTCCCACGGGCAGAAGCCCAGACTCACGAGACGGCCCCCAGGCACGAGGCAGGGCCTCCAGGACTCCCCACCCACCAGCTGTGACCTGGGGTTACCTGGCCTGCAGCTCACAGAACTCAGAGAAATACTCCTGCTCCCGCTCACTGGGTCAGACAGAGCACCTTCAGGAGAAGGTGAGAAGGTATGGGGGGTGGGGGGACAGGTTCCGTGCCCTCTCTGGGACATCAGCCTCGAAACCTGCACATGGTAAGTCATCCACAAGCACTCTGGACCCACTCCTTTGGAGTTCTTACAGAGGCTTCATGATGCAGGCGTTGATTGATCGCCAGCCTCCCTCACCACACCAGAGGTTGGGGGAGGGCTGAAAGGCCCAAGCCTCTATCAATGGTTGGTCTTTCCAGTGACCAACTCTCATCACAAGACTCCACAGGGGCTGCCGGCCACCTGCCAACTCATCAGAACACAGACACAGCACTTGGGAGAGTGCAAGGATCTGAAGCAGCATTGTGTCCGGAAGTGGGGATGAAGACCAAGTAAGTATTTCACAGCAGCAGGAGCTCAGATCTCTGGAAGCCTATGTGCCTTCTGTGGACTTCCCCGTCACCATTAGACTGCCTGATGGCACTTTCCGTGTTACAATAATTGTGACACCACCCATGTAAATCAGATGTAGCCCAGCTGGCTGGTGCTGTGGTGTAGCAGGTAAAGCCACTGCCTGAGATGCCGATATCCTATATGGGCACTGGTTCGAGTCCCAGCTGCTCCACTTCTGACTCAGCTCCCTGATAATTTGCTTGGGAAAGCAGCAGAGGATGGCCCAAGTCCCCAGGCTGCTGCACCAACATGAGAGACCTGGAATAAGCTCCTGGCTCCTGGCTTCGGCCTGGCCCAGCCCGGGCCATGGTGGCCATGTGGGGAGTGAACCAGCAGATGGAAGGCCTCTCTCTCTCTCTCTCTCTCTCTACTTCTGCCTCTGCCTCTCTTCCGTAACTCGGACTTTTAAATAAATAAATATTAAAAAAAAAAAATAGAAGTGCCACTTGGTTTTTACCATCTGATTAGCAAGGACCAAAATGTTTGCTGACACACTGTGTATAGGAAACAGGCACTCTCCTGCATAACTGATGGGAAGATGATCTGGAACCACTGCTTGGGGGAGCACTTTGCCAGCATTCATTAAAGTCAAATAGATGGGCCTGCGCTGTGGCATAGCAGTAAAGCCACTGCCTGCAGTGCCGGCAACCCATGTGGGCACCGGTTCGAGTCCCAGCTGCTCTCATTTTCAATCCAGCTCTCTGCTATGACCTGAGAAAGCAGTAGAAGATGGCCCAACTGCTTGGGCCCCTGCACCCACGTGGGAGCCACAGAAGCAGCTCCTGACTCCTACTTAGCACAGCTCTGGCCATTGTGGCCAACTGCAGAGTGAACCAGCGGGTGGAAGACCTCTCTCTCTCTCTCTCTCTCTTTCTCTGCATCTCCTCTCTCTGTGTAACTTTCAAATAAATAATAAACTTTTAAAAAATAGTCAAATGGAAAGAAATTC